AGCTTTCGTCGACGTTGACGACGACGTCGCACGGTATAAACGCGGCCTGAGCTTGAACCAACCTTGGTTAGGGGAAAGGGCATAGAAGTGCTGCCGGATGTTCCCCCTTAATTACGTTAGTGCCCACAGTTTGTTTTGCTCTGATAGAAAAGTTAGGATCATTGAGAAAAGAGAAATGGAAAACGTGAAGCTTCTTGTCTGTTTATGATCAAATCTACGTTATGCTACAAGTAAAACTGTCTTTCTTTGATTCTTCCTGCACTCTCCACTTCATTGTTCCCAGTTCCCGCTTATACTACAAAAACCTTTCTCGCTGCGGATGCCGAGGGTGTCGAAGTGTTGGGGTTTGTTTGGTACACGTCAGACCGTTTCTTTTCTTCTCTTTCAGCCAGCAGCGACACTATATCATATAGTTCGTATCAGTCGTTTGCCACCAGCTGTTGCCGCCTCGTTTAACAAGTGGTGAACGGACTAACGCTGCGTCCTCGACACGCCCCAGCATCTACAGCGAACAAGACTGTACATCTATCTCCTCTGCCGTGCCTCATCCATCTCTGTCCACACGAGTTGTTACGCTTCCTGTACACGTCAGTGTCACCAGATTTGCTGAGCTGTCGATAAACTGAGCCTACATACTACTACTGTCCATTTTTCTCATTTTTTACTATTGACCAGTCATGCCCACTTCCCTTACCCTATACCACGTCTCGAAATCAAGGTCCCACGTTCACTGCAACCTGCGCTAAGAATTTGGTGACACCCGCGTCTAAAGTCCCTTATCGGATCTTATCAGATGTTATCAGCTCCTGTCAGCCACCACCCTACCGTGTATATCACTTCTTGAAATCACGGTCCCGCAGCTGCTGCAACTTGCGCACGAATTCGGTCACCCTCCCCTTCTAAGGCCCCTTATCGAATCTTATCAAGTGTTATCACCTCCTGTCACCCACCAAAAGTGTTCCCGTCCTGCCATGTATATCACTTCTTGAAATCACGGTCCCGCAGCTGCTGCAACTTGCGCTACGATTTCGGTCACCCTCCCCTTCTAAGGCCCCTTATCGAATCTTATCAACTGATATCACTTCCTGTCACCCACCAATAGTGTTCCCGTCACACCCCTACATCACTTCTTGAAATCAATGTCTCATCACTATTGGGACCGGCGCTATGAATTTCGTGACAAACAGACAGACGGACAGACACACACACACGGACATAGCGGATTATATGTAGTAGGATAGTTACTCTGTTCCATTACGGCACACTTCTCTACGTAAGCTGCAGCTGCTATCGTGCTATCGTAAACTTGCACGGTAAAGAAACTGTTACAAAAATCAACCATTTATTGACCAACAGAACAACAAACAATTCAGCGCCTACGATGGACAGTGCGCTTGACCTTAGGCCGAGGTGGAAGAATAATGCCGTCGTACTGAAAATAAGGTTGGCATCAAAGGCAGTTGTAAAAATTCAGTTAGATATACCTTCTGCTGGAACCACTTGACGGCTTCATCGCGACTCACACGATGAGACGGTCCAACACGACCCGGAGCGCGTCTTCTCTTAGCCACACGGCGACCGGCACGATCAAGCACCACGTAGAAGTCCATGCCATAGATTCCAATGGCTGGATCATATTTGATCCCAAGATCGATGTGCTCCTTAAATAGGCAGACGAGTGTTGCATGAAAGGAGTGCCAGGAAATAACTAAACGCCAGAAAAGTCCCAGTCCGAGGTGCGACGGCATGTGAGCTATGCTCGAAATCCCTGAGATCGGGTAGGCGTGGCTGCATGTTTCAACTGAAGGAGTCTATGCTTCTGGTGAGATATTTTCATCTTGACACAATTGTTGTCGTGTCTCTGTCCAACACAGAACAAGATGACAGTTGTCCCAGACTGGAATATTCCACGAGTAACCAGTTCCGTGCCATGTTCAAATGCCACGCCTACTCTGGCTCAGGGATAACGAGTGACCTTATGTTCCTATCTAGTTGACTCGACGCCGTTGTGCGTAAAATTAATTAGATGTCAGCGGCCCACGTTTGTAGCGATTACTCTACGGGTTTCTTAAAAGAAACAACAGCAACCGACAAACTTTTTTCTTCTGCCCCAAGTTTTCAGAATCGCTCAGGGATTTTCCCGATAACTGAAACCGTAAAATGATGAATGTGATCTGACATGGATCCCAAAACTTAAAATGGAGAGCAATTTGCCGACTGCCAAATTCCGGAAGTCCTAT